TCGGAAGCCCGCCCCTCAGCGGGGCGGGCTTCCGATGATCGCAAGTACGATCTGCCCGTCCAAGGTGGGCAGATCGTACGGGCTTTTAATGAGCATACGACCATCGCAAGACAAAAGTCTTGCGATGGTCGTAAGGTGTATGGGCACCTTGAGACTGCTGAAAAGGTTTTGGGGAAACCTCATGAAACATTCGTCGTGTTGACCTGTTTCAATTGCTTTTGTGTGATTTGTTCTCAGCAAGCAGCTGAAAGTCTGGAAATGTTGCCAATAAATTCGATTTGCCGGTTGAATCATTTTGATAACAACGGGACATGACCTGAGAACATGGCTGCACACACGTGACGCTGCATGACGTGATCATCTGCCACCCTTCCTCATATGAACATCCGCTCAGGCGCAGCAGATTAGACATGTGCGGACACATCCGAATTTCCCAATCCCAATGCATCCGAATGTGTCCGAATTTCCATTTGCGAATCCCATACGAAATACATTCAAAAACTAAACTGAATCGGACATGTGGCTTTTCTGGCCAATCAGATGTGTTTTTAGGATGAATGCATCCGAATGGTTCTGAGCACGAATTTTCGTTACAGCAACATGGGAGCCATCCGATTGGCCAGAAAAGTCACATGACGTAACGAAAATGTGTGCTCAGTATATACATATATTACTAAAGCTAAATCTCCCAGACCCGAATGGCATTTGTGAGCTCCCGAATACAATTCAGAGATTCGGATCCCAAATGCCATTCGGGTCTGTGAGATTCAGCTTTAGTATTAATATCTGTATATGGTTTTCTGTGGTATTCGCAACTATGCGAAACTAACGGAAATTCGGATCGGATTTCATCCGAATCCGAACTGAATTGAATTTCGGATACGAATCCCGAAATATCCAAACCAAGCCGAATTTTTCCGCAGCTTTCATGTCTACCGCAGATAAAGACGAGGGCCTGTGCTTCCCTACAGCCAGCATAGTGACAGGTCCTATTTTTGATGCTCACTCCTACCCATTCCTGAGCCTCCCGCTCCCAGATTCTCCTTGGCAGGCAATGTGACAGGTCCACTTTATAATGGGCGGAGTCAGAATCAATCATACAATCCTTTTTGCCCACCTTACGGCACTTGGTACCCAATCACCAGGTCCGATCTCTGCCATGTAAAGAAAGGGGGAGGGGCTGTGAGTGGTCATGTGTAAGCTTTGACTTTTCGGAAAGTCAGAATAGGAGTCTGCAGAGCGAGGAAGGCAAATTTGCTTTTCTGCTTTGCTGGCAGCAGCTCTGACAGTCTCCTATTTCAGTTCACCCCTTTTATAAGTTAGAATATGAGTTCACAGACCTTCTAAAACAATCTCTTTATAGATGGGGGATGGACTTTGTCCCCGTGCTTCGGATTACTCAATAACCGTGTCCTTGCTCCATCTACATCAGAGGTGTGCAGCTAAAGGGCAAGGTCCAAGGACCTGGCAACCACAGAGGTGCACACCTCTCTAAAACCGGCCGTACCCCCATACAATCTGATTGTACAATCTATAGCCAACTTGGGATCTTTCTAGTGCTATGCCATACAAGAGCCCGCCTGATTGTAGAGAAAAAAAACTGATTGGATTCCTAAAAGTGGCCACACACGTATTGATTTGTGATCAGTCAAGGTACGAGCAAACAAATAATTAATCATCAATATAAATATTAACACACGTGATATGCATAGAAAATACGACGTACCAGGAACAATCTGTTATAAGAGATCTGTGTTATGATCCATTTTGTGACACACGTGCAGATATCTGATTGATAGGAAACGATCAATAAAATTCCACCACCACCACTTGACTGTGTCAAAGTGGATTGGACATTTAGTAAATGGATCAATTGAGGGGTTAGTGTGTTAAGGTGGCTACACACATATCTATATGATCATTGAGTCGATCTTTCAATGTGATCATTCAATCAATCAATCGATCATTCAATATTATCAGTCAGTCAGTCATTCAATATGATCATACCATTGATCATTCAGTGTGATCATTTAATTATCATTCAATCAATCATTCAATATTATCATACCATCAATCATTCAATGTGATCATACCATCAAACATTCAATATGTTCATTCAATCATTCAATGTGGTCATTCAATCAATCGATCATTCAATATTATCATTCAGTCAGTCATTCAATATGATCATACCATCGATCATTCAGTGTGATCATTTAATTATCATTCAATCAAACATTCAATATTATCATACCATCAAACATTCAATATGTTTATTCAATATTATCATTCAGTCAGTCATTCGATATGATCATACCATCGATCATTCAGTCGATCCTTCAGTGTGATCATACCATCGATCAATCATTCAATTAATCATTCAGTTGATCATTCTATATGATCATACAATCAACTATTCAATCAATCATTCAATGTGATCTTTTAATCGATCATTTATTATGATCATAAATTAATCATTCAATGTGATCATACCATATGATCATACAATCATTTAATCAATCATTCAATATTATCAACCCATCGATCACTTAGTATGATCATTCCATCGATCATTCAATTTCATCATACAATCGATCATTCAATATTATCATTCAATTGATCATTCAATGTAACCAAAATGATCAATGTGAATAGGAATTAAACATTTACAGACCCTCCATTTCATTGATCATTTGAGCTTCCTATCGATTGATCAAGTTGATTGACCGTGGCGGAATTTTATTGATTATTTCTGATGAACAGAACAAATACCCGTGTGTGTGTGTCAGACAACTGACTAGAACACATATTGATGATATTGATCCTTTTCAATCAGTTGTTTCGTTTCACAACACAAGTCCAACCCTCAGACACGTTGGGTCATATTTATAAGGCAGTGAATCTGACATTCAGCAAGCATTCTGCGCAGGAGAATCTCCCAGGGCCATGCATTGTCAACGTCAGTGATTGATTCACCGGCGGAGAATGTTTGATGAAAGTCACATTCACTGCTTTATAAACTGTTACCTCCTTGCTGTATAATGAGGTTCCTCATAAGTGTACCTGTCTCCCCAGATGGTTCTTCAGAGAACTCTCCCGGACGGAGGCCAACAATCTGCTCATGAAAGGCGGGAACGCCGCCGGATCCTTCCTGGTCCGCCAAAGCGACAAGCAGGACTTCGATTACGCCCTCTCAGGTAATCCCACCATGTACCGGGGAAGCAGAGGATCATGGGAAGGGAAGGTGACATCGGCAGCCATGACAGTCCTGCGGCTTCATCTTCCTGCGGGAAAAGAAACATAGATATGATTAAAGAGGACAAATTCCTGACATCCCAATATGCAGCAACAGGACCATTTCACCACTTCGTCAGCTGCAGCTCAGTGACTTTGCCTAGGCTGAGCTTATGTCATCAGTCTGCTGCAGGTAGGAGGGAGCATTTCCTCCGCGCCCCCCCCTGATCAGTCTGCTGCAGGCAGGAGGAAGCATTTCCTCAGTCTCCTCTCCCCTAGTGATCAGTCTGCTGCAGGCAGGAGGAAGCATTTCCTCAGTCTCCTCTCCCCCAGTGATCAGTCTGCTGCAGGGAGGAGGAAGCATTTCCTCAGTCTCCTCTCCCCCAGTGATCAGTCTGCTGCAGGGAGGAGGAAGCATTTCCTCAGTCTCCTCTCCTAGTGACCAGTCTGCTGCAGGCAGGGGGAAGCATTTCCTCAGTCTCCTCTCCCCTAGTGATCAGTCTGCTGCAGGCAGGAGGAAACATTTCTTGTGAATTTATGTGAATGAGGCCTTACACAGTGTTGCATTCTACATTCACATGCATTGCTCCAAGGCTTTCCTTTAAATGGGTTGCCACCTGTCCTGGATTCACCTGGACCATCCAGGTTTTGAGTCCTGTATGTTCTGTTTCCGGGTTTCAGGCCAGCTGACACCCAGACACAGCACGTACAGGACTCAAAACTCAGACTGTCCAGGTGAATCGGGGACAGGGGGCAACCCTATTGCCAATGCAACCAAGTGTCATTTTGAACAATGCAGAGTATGCGGGTTGCTGTGTGCCAGCGTGCTTTGTATTGATATACTGGAGCATAAAAAATGGCAGCTCCCCATGTTATGTGCATTGCTGTAGGTAATGCGTGTTACCACAATGCATAGACGTGAATGGGCCCGTGCAGCTCTACATAAACGCACGTCTTTGGACGATAAACGCCGTCTGGTCTGTGTTGGACTTGCCTTGCTTGCCACACAAATAAATGTCAGGAAGACCAGCTGCATACAAGGAGGCACAGCGCAGGTCAAACGCAGGCGGCCACGCCATTCCAGTATATGGAGACCTGCAGACTTCCACTTAAAGTGAGCCCAGAAAACACCCCCCAGTATAATACAAGCCCCACCCCACCCAGAGCCATTTCACTGTACACTTCAACCAAACTATGAGAGGAAACACAGCAATTCCATCATTTTATATCTATAGCAAACAGAAGATGGATACATTCCACCTCCTCTGTATGAACATTGTATCAGTACAGCCGGAATTCATATTGTTACATTGTACTCACAACTAGATACCACCAGAGACACGTCACTTCCTTGTTACCATTTACATGTGGGCCCAAGATGGCCGCTTCCACTCTGGAACTACGGAAGCCTCAGAGGTTCATAGGCCAAGCATAGGCCAAGCAGTATACACACAGTATAGACCATGCTGTATACACACAGTATAGTCCACGCTGTATACACACAGTATAGACCATGCTGCATACACACAGTATAGACCATGCTGTATACACAGTATAGTTAGGGTTGCCACCTTTTCTTCAAGCGAAACCCGAACACTCTAGCAACGCACGGACATTTTTTTGGGAGAATGAGTTGTAGCTTAATTATATGTAAATAGTGTCACCCATTCATAAGTAAATATCACAGTTGAGACTATTTTCAGTGCGGGGCCAGTATCTCCTATCTTAATTTTGGTTGCCCCTATGTGCCTGACATCTTGTGTCCGGGTTTCTGCTGCCATGAAACCCGAACACAGCATTCAAAACCCGGACTGTCCGGGTGAATCCTGGACAGGTGGTAACCCTAAGTATAGTCCACGCTGTATACACACAGTATAGACCATGCTGCATACACACAGTATAGACCATGCTGCATACACAGTATATTCCAAGCTGTATACACAGTATAGACTGAGCTGTATACAGAATATAGCCCAAGCTGTATACACATTATAGACCATGCTGTATACACAGTATAGACCAAGCTGTATACACAGTATAGTCCATGCTGTATACACAGTATAGACCAAGCTGTATACACAGTATAGTCCATGCTGTATACACAGTATAGACCAAGCTGTAAACACAGTATAGACCAAGCTGTATACACAGTATAGACTGAGCTGTAAACACAGTATAGACCAAGCTGTATACACAGTATAGACTGAGCTGTATACACAGTATAGACCAAGCTGTATACAGAGTATAGACCAAGCTGTATACAGAGTATAGGCCAAGCTGTATACAGAGTATAGGCCAAGCTGTATACACAGTATAGACCAAGCTGTATACACAGTATAGTCCATGCTGTATACACAGTATAGACCAAGCTATATACAGAGTACACACCAAGCATTATATGCAATATAGACCATGCTGTATACAGAGTATAGGCCAAGCTGTATACACAGTATAGACCATGCCGTATACACACAGTGTAGTCCAAGCTGTACACAAAGTATAGACCATGCTGTATACACAGTATAGACCACGCTGTATACACACAGTGTAGTCCAAGCTGTACACAAAGTATAGACCATGCTGTATACACAGTATAGACCACGCTGTATACACACAGTGTAGTCCAAGCTGTACACAAAGTATAGACCATGCTGTATACACACCGTGTAGTCCAAGCTGTATACACAGTATAGATCACGCTGTATACACAGTATAGACCAAGCTGTATACACAGTATAGACCACGCTGTATACAAAGTATAGACCAAGCTGTATGCACAGTATAGACCACGCTGCATACACAGTATAGACCAAGCTGTATACACAGTATAGACCAAGCTGTATACAAAGTATAGACCAAGCTGTATACAAAGTATAGACCAAGCTGTATACACAGTATAGACCAAGCTGTATACACAGTATAGACCAAGCTGTATACACAGTATAGTCCATGCTGTATACAAAGTATAGACCAAGCTGCATACACAGTATAGACCAAGCTGTATACAAAGTATAGACCACGCTGCATACACAGTATAGACCAAGCTGTATACACAGTATAGACCAAGCTGTATACACAGTATAGTCCATGCTGTATACAAAGTATAGACCACGCTGTATACACAGTATAGACCAAGCTGTATACACAGTATAGACCAAGCTGTATACACAGTATAGTCCATGCTGTATACAAAGTATAGACCACGCTGCATACACAGTATAGACCAAGCTGTATACACAGTATAGACCAAGCTGTATACAAAGTATAGACCACGCTGCATACACAGTATAGTCCATGCTGTATACAAAGTATAGACCAAGCTGTATACACAGTATAGACCACGCTGTATACACAGTATAGACTGACTTGTATATAGAATATAGACCATGCTGTATACACAGTAAAGGCCAAGCTGACCTACAGTATGTTGCCTTATGTCCTATTTCTTCAGTTCACACGAACGCACTGTAAAAGTAAGACATACTGCATGTTTATACAACGCAGTACTCTGCAACGTGTTTTAGGTTGTCAGGTTTAATAAAGTTTAAACAAGAAAAAAAAACAACACCGTGATGCGTTGTATAATGCATTGCAGCACACATGCAAGCCAGTGGGCACGCATTATGCATCTCATTCATGCACACAACGCGGTGCTATTCAACGCACATGTTCTTACATACTGAGGCACACTGCATTGGGCGACCCATTCAAAGTGAACGCACCTCAGTGTGAGAAAAAAATCAGTTCTGCTCTATACTTGCAACGCACAGAACATTGGAATCCGCTGCCATAGCGCACTGGCGATGTGCACTTAGCTACAGTCAGCAAAGAATGGTCACGCACGTCGGCACATATACAATGCGCTATCGCGCGTTACACCATCACACTTTATAAGTTGCATCATGGGGTGAATGAGCTGTGAAGGAAATATCATGAAAAAAAAGAATAGCAGGGAGGAGATGTCATGGCGGTCAGTCTGTTCTTGCTATATAATAAAGTTGCGTATTTTTCTGACGCAGTGCGAGCCACTGACGGGGTGAAACACTTCAAGATCCTGCGGAACTCCCAAGGAGAATACCACCTGAATAGCTCATCGCTCTTCCCGGATCTGGACAAGCTCATCGAATACTACCATGACAGGCCGGTCATAAAGGGGGTGACACTGACCAAGCCTTGCGTCAAGGTGAGACACTGTTGGATGGCGTTACTTTCGCTGACGTGAGCTTCTGGGGCTAGGGAGGAGGAGGAGGGGCCTAAATCCCATATTTAAACAGGACAGGTTCTCTTTAAAGGAGAACCCTGGTAACACAGTGTGTGCGTTCTCTGATTTGAGGTTTGAAGGATGCATGTGAGAGGAATAGGTAACGGCCCACATGAAAAATTCTGATAGGAATAACATATGTGTTCCATTCCCAAGGGCACGGTGCGCCAGTCAGTGCCAAGGCACCGTTCCCCCGAGCCAAGACAGGCAAAGGTCATCAGGGACTTAATCCGTGCCGGCAACAACAATACAACAACAATATAATAATGCTATCAGAATAAGATAACACCGCTAATAGAAAACGTAGGGAGGGAAAGAGCCTTTCTGTAAAGTAACAGGTCATATGACACACCTATATCAGGCATTAGGCTCCACCCATGAGGGAGGCCAACTAATTGGCAGCTACCCTGTTATAGTACCTCTGGGGTCCACATCTGTTTATCTTGGGGCCCGGGTTATCTTGTCTGACGTGAGCGAGATCGTGGATTATTGTCAATGGACGTAAGCATGGATCTGCAAACACGCATGCACACAGGCCTAAGAGGGTATTTAGACTCCTCCGCTGATGGTGACCGGTGATGTGCCTACCTAGTTTATGAGTCTACTGTTGTTCTGACTTGCACGTTGCTGACGCAGATTGCCTAACTCTGCTCCTGTCTCCTGCCCCCATTGCAGACTCTGCTCGTCCTGTTATCATTTTGCCTGCCATCTGCCTCGACCTCTACCTGGACTCCAGCTACTCTCTTGAATGCTGACTGCCTTGACCCCTGCCTGGACTCTGACTATTCTCTTAACTGCCGCCTGCCTCGACCTCTTCCTGCACTCCAACTACTTTCTTGCTTGCCGCCTGGCTCCACCTCTGCCTGGACTCTAAATACTAATTTGCCTACCTCGATCTCTTGCTGAACTCTGACTACTCTCTTGCCTGCAGCCTTCATCAACCTCTGCCTGCACTGCGGCTACTCTCTTGACTGCCACCTGCCTCAGCCTCTGCCTGGACTCTAACTAATCATTTGCCTGCCTCAACCTCTTCCTGAACCCTGACAACTATCTTGCCTGCTGCCTGGCTCGAGCTCTGCCTGGACTCCAACTACTCATTTGCCATCCGACTATTCTCTTGCCTGCCCCCTGCCCTAACCTCTTCCTGGATTCCAACTACTCTCTTGTCTGCCGCCTGCCTCCACATCTGCCTGCACTGCAACTACTTTCTTGCCTGCTGCCTGCCTTGACTTCTGCAGACAGAGTGACAGTTTTGAGTGGAGAGATCTTTTCATATTTTGTGTGTAACTCTATATATTTGTATCTCCTGGGCACAGGATGAGCCAATGGCCACCGACTTAAACCCCTTACCCTTGGACGAGTGGGAGAGACCCAAGGAGGAGTTTATCCTTGGAAAGAAACTGGGTTCTGGCAATTTCGGGCAGGTCCACGAAGGCTACTGGAAGGGGCGGGTGAAAATGAGAGTGGCCATTAAAACCATAAAGCAAGGTAAGCCGTTAAAGCTTTTAAACAATGTTGGCCAACCAAGTATTCATCATAGGTCCCGGGAATGTCCCCGTCTCCTCCAGCAGCCAATTGGATTCCAGTTATTGTGCAGATTTAGAGTATATAAGGAATATTGTTTTATTAAACTCCAGTTTTGATACATCATCTCCACCATGGGAAGGAGCCAAAAGGATGCTGAGTCAGGACATTCCCCTAGGCGGGGAAAATATCACTGGCAGAGCTTATACCTTGGAATTATTCTAGGGTGAAAACATATTTAAGACTTATTTGCAGTTTGCTGATCTGTCCATTGCATAGACTGGAGAAAACCCATCAGCTCAATCCATTTTGCCTTGGCCATTACCACCAACGGGCTTGAAAAAATACCGATCCTTCAAAAATACAGGACAGCACTTTTAACTGGTGATAACTGGTAGCATTTACCTTAATTTTGGAATGGTTAGAACCCCTGTCGGGCATATCCTGCTGTCTGGAAGATCTGCCTTTACTTCCTGTTGTGTCACCAAGACAGCAAGTCACAGGAAATCTCTCCGATGGTGAAACAGGCTGCAAGAAAACCATTTTATCTACATAACAAGCTCTGTCTGGCTTATATTGCTGTGGCCCCATAGGGGCGATTCCCCCTCAGACTGGGTGGTTGCTGGTACAGGAAGGGAGGCAAATCTCTGCATAGGTATTAGCTTTACTAGGTAGTAACTTGTCCTATGCATAACTTTTATAGAAAGAGTTTCTACCATGAAAAGTTCATCCAAGGACCACATAGAGCACGGATAGGCAACCTCGGCACCCCAGGTGTGGTGAAGCTACAAATTCTGTCTCTGGGAGTCATGCTTGCAATGCCTCATGTACCTGCTGGAGTGCCAAGGTTGCTCACCACTAGCATAGAAGGATGATGACACCAATTTCTTGAAGCACATCATTGATACTAATGACCACTAGAGGGCAGTGTTACCAAAGTAACTACTTGCTTGTTCCCAACTGCTGGCGCCTATGGCCGCAAGATGGCAGGCAATACATACTGTTGTGCAGACCTGCTTCTTCACCCTCATTGGTCAAGATTTTCTAACATGAATGTGATGAAAAAATGTCGAGAAGTAGATTTTCCTGCCAATATGTTGTGAGCAATATGGACATAGATAAAACACAAACATGGTGGAACTCAAGCCAAAGTTAGGCAAGGGGTCTGTGTCCCCACTGGGGAGATTTCATCAAAGTAGTCATCAGAATAGGTGTCCCTATTGGAAGATTTCTCCCGAAATTGCTGTAATATTTTGGGATTCCTTTCACGGTCCATCGCGGTGACAGTGGTCATCGGGTCAAGGTTCAAGTCAAGCAGTCATCTGGTGTCCCTATTGGAAGATTTCCCCTCTATTCCTGTCATATTTTGGGATTCACAATCCATCATGGTGACAGTGGTCATCAGTGATGGATGAGGGTTCAAGTCAAGGTTCAGGTTAGATTCAGCTTAGGTTCTTCCCAGCATGGACACGGACAGCTATAAGAACCTGATATGGGTTCTAACTCCTCACCACCAAGAGCACTTTTGGTTGGGGTTTTGCTTCTAGTGCTAACTTAGTGTGGTTTGTATTTGCTGTTCAGTGTGTGTCAGGCCAACCTACATGTCCAATGAAGTTGGCTTCTCCTCATAAAATATTCTGACCTCGCCTCCTCCATAGATGTGACCAACCGTGAAATCTTCCGGAAGGAAACGGCGTTTCTGAAGACGCTGCGCCACCGTAACCTGCTTTCCCTGTATGCCGTGTGCTCGGTGGGGGATCCATTTTATATAGTGACGGAGCTCCTCTCTAAGGGGGACCTCCTGCACTTCCTGAGAGGTAAGTGTGACCTTCACCTTCTAGTGGGGGCAACAGTGAAAATGTATTGAGCAAACCTAAGGCAGGCCCGGCATCTAAACATTGCATTGCAACAACAAATGTTGAATTGGTCACTCAACAGCACTCATACGAACGTGCGTTGACCTACTACAACATGCTTTGATTGAAAAAAGTCAAATGGAAGGGTGCCGCCTGGGACACACATTGGTCCTGCTGACTCGGCCGAAATTCAACCAGTGTATGTTTTGTCCTAGTATGAAAAGCCCATTGGGTATGTTGCTGATTTCAGCAGGCCATATGTCTATGCCGAGCTGATAAGATAAACATGGCTTTCTGCTGTGCTGATCATGTGATGTCAGCAGCTTCCACCAACAAGTCAGTGCATGGGAGCGAAGGCCAAGGGACTGATGTGACAGCCAGCCCTCCGCCATTTTGCTTTAATTGCTGCCACCTTTACAGAAGGTCTATGATCTCTCCCGCTAACCGATCCCCCTCTGCATTGCCCCTCAGGCCCTGAAGGAGAGAAGCTGAGCGTTGAAGGGCTCCTGGATATTGCAGGCCAAGTCATAGACGGGATGCACTACCTAGAAGCCAATAATTGTATCCACCGCGACCTGGCTGCCCGAAACGTGCTGATTGGCCTGAACAACATCTGCAGATTGGCCGACTTTGGCTTAGCCAGAATTATCACGGTGAGCGCCGACCCCCAAGACCGAGTGATAACATGAAAAAGAAATAAGTATACCATCACCATGCTGGTTGGAGGCTCCCTGTAAGCATTTCTGTATTCTCTTCTTTAAGGACGATTGCTACATGTCTTACTCTAAGGATGTCCCGTACAAATGGACCGCCCCCGAGGCCCTGGAGTATGGACGCTTCACCATAAAGTCCGATGTCTGGTCCTTTGGTGTCCTCTTACATGAGATCATGTCTCGTGGGGTGATCCCGTATCCAGGTAATTATCAGCACAGATCACATGACTGAATGCCTGGGTGTTCGGTCACATGACCAGCCTTCAAGCACTGTGTTTTTTTTCTCAGGTGTGTAAGTTTTTCAGGGGTTGGTTGGAATATTTGAATTTTAGGCCGTGGGATGAACAAAAGGTCTCCCCGCTCTCTTCATGTCCCCACCCTTTGTTCTCCATGTCCCAACCCCGCGTTCTCCATGTCCCAACCCCGTGTTCTCCATGTCACAGCCCTGCGCTCTCCTTGTCCCAAACCTGTGCTCTCCTTGTCCCAACCCCGTGTTTTCCATGTCCCAACCCCGCGCTCTCCTTGTCCCAACCCCGTGTTCTCCATGTCCCAACCCTGTGTTCTCCATGTCCCAACCCCGTTTTCTCCATATCCCAACCCTGTGTTCTCCATGTCCCAACCCCGTGTTCTCCATGTCCCAACCCCGTGTTCTCCATGTCCCAACCCCTCGTTCTCCATGTCCCAACCCCTCGTTCTCCATGTCCAAACCCCACGTTCTCCATGTCCCAACCCCACGTTCTCCATGTCCCAACCCCACGTTCTCCATGTCCCAACCCCACGTTCTCCATGTCCCAACCCCACGTTCTCCATGTCCAACCCCGTGTTCTCCATGTCCCAACCCCATGTTCTCCATGTCACAGCCCTGTTTTCTCCATGTCCCAACCCTGCGCTCTCCTTGTCCCAAACCTGTGCTCTCCTTGTCCCAACCCTGTGTTCTCCATGTCCCAACCCCGTGTTCTCCATGTCCCAACCCCGTGTTCTCCATGTCACAGCTCTGTTTTCTCCATGTCCCAACCCTGCGCTCTCCATGTCACAGCCCCCACAGGTCTCGGGGGCGGTTTTATTTCACTTTAGGTCCACATTAAAGTGGACCTGTCACCAGAACCGTTGATGGGAAATCAGAGAGAAAGGCCTGGGGAAAACCTATGTGTTCTGCTGGTATAAAGTAGTTGTGAAGAGTCCAGTCAAGTGTGCCTAGGCTATGAGGTGCAATCTGGGATAATGATCCGTCTCCTGTATTGGCTGAACACCTTTCCCCCAAGCCTTGCAAAATGCTTGAAGTCTAGCCAAGGTTCCCCTTTCATCGGCCTCCTTGTTTTTTTCTTTCCTGCAGGCATCTCTAATGCCGAACTGCTTCTGTACCTCAAGCAAGGCAAAAGGATGAGCGCACCAGAGAACTGCTCCAGAAAGATCTACGAAGTCATGCTGGACTGCTGGAACGCCAATGCGCAAAAGAGGCCGTCCTTTAATGAACTGAAGATCTCCATGGACAGCCTGGCCTTCTATGAGCCATCTGAGGAATCCCCCAAACCCGTCAAGCTCAAAGGCATTATAGCCAGGCTGAAGAAGAATGCCAATTGACCAATGGCAGGACAGTAAAGAAATCCGAGGCCTTCGTACGGACAATCATTTCAAGGGCAACTCAGATCAAAAAAAAAGGGCCAACCTGTCTTCAAGAAGCTACGATAGCTGGTTACTGACTGTAAATTGTTTTCCTTCTGTGGACAGATCTCGACTCTGTCCCGCGAACAAGTAGAAACGAGGAGGTCAGTAGATCAATCAGACTGCGATAAGCCACAATGGCTTTGGTAAGGGTGCTCCTAACAAAAGCGGGGTGCCCCTAAAGCAGGGGGCCCAGATTTGAAGGTGCATGTGTACAAAGTCCAATGAGTCAATGAAGTCTGAGAATCCAAAGAACTTTTAATGTTAATATTATAATTTAAATATTAATA